GTAAGCAAAGAAAGCAAAAATGACCCGAAATTTCGTCGTGCGATTTTGAGCTAAACTATTTAACTACGTCGTAGTCTTAGACTCCAAAAATCAAACAAAAAAATGGGACCTACCTGCAAGCATTACCTTTCGGATAAAAAATGAATTATTAAAATCGGTCCACTAGCGGCGGAGTTATGCCGTAACACACATAAAAAAAAAAAAATAAAAAAAAAACATACAGACGAATTGAGTACCTCCTTCTTTTGGGAAGTCGGTCAAAAAAACAACAGAAAACAAGGAAAGCAAATCTCGCTGCTTTGATAATAGTTTACATTATTTATGCTGCATTAAATGTATACGTTTGCAGCATAAATTATTTATGTATAGAAAAATGGTATAGAATTAAATTGAAGCAAATCGGAAATTACCACGAAATTAAATCTAGAAATGGTAGCTATAGGCGGAAGTTCCAATTCCAAACTATTTGTTTTCAGATATCTGAAAACAAATAGTTTAAACACCTATATAAAAACAACTAAAGTATTCGATGAAAAGGAAAGGCACGATGTTTTTATACAAGTGCTTCGGCAATGAAAACCCACGGGATTACTACTATATCTTGTTATGCAGGAAGGTCAATATTACGCAAACAGTCGCGCGTACGTGCCATCGCAGCGACATCTCTGAATACAAATTGCATTTAATTGTATTTGAAAACCTTAAAGAAACAATGATACTAACGAATTGTTTTTGAAAAACGATCGTGTTTCGAGTATTCCAAATTGCAACACACGACTATGTTGGTCATATTTTAATTGTATCTGAAAGATTTTACCCGTATTTTTATTCAATAAGTAATAATACATTTCAGTCGTCGGGAAATTACGTTTTTAACACAATCCAACCATCTTAAGAATGCATTTGCTAAGTATAACGAAGTGCTAGAAGATTATGAACTCAAGGTCTTGTCTGAAAGGCATAACATCTGTTAAAACTAAAAGATACAATCAATGTACTTATGTTTGTACGTCATAAAAAAAACTCAACTGGTTTTAACGTAAGAAATCTTCTGGTTTCATTCGACTTGAAATGTCGATTGCGCAATATCAAAATAATCATTTAAAAGTAAAAAAAAACAAATGAACCCATTTTTTTTTGTTTTGAATAACATAAAAATTATTTGATGAGGAAATATTTACTTTTATCCCCTGAATAAAATTAAATCTTTTTCACAAGCTTGGATGCGACGCAGTAACGAGTAATTATAAATTTAATTGTAATTAAGAATTAAATTAAATGGCCTTAGGTTCTTGAACGTTATTTTAAAGTCGTGCGAAACAAGGGTAAATAAAGGGCGTTTGGCTAATGACCTTGTTAAAAAAGATTTTTTACGTCATGTCTATCAACTTATTAAGTTCATAGAGTTAATGTGTGGGTAAACTCTGATAAATGATCTCATTTTTATATTTTCTCATTAATTCTCATTCATCTCAATCACTATCTATTGATTTTATTTTACTTTTATAACTAAACTACCTTTTGCTCGCGACTTCGCCCCCGTGAAATTAAAGATTTAAAAAGATTTAAAAGATTTATTTATAAAGTTACAAAATTTCTTTTAATACAATTGTGGTCGTCGATCGAATTAAATAATAATATAAAACATAGCCTATGTTACTCATTAATAACATAGGTTTTTAATGGAAATTTTTGAAATCGGCCCAGTAGTTTTCGAGTTGCAATACCTACATACAAAAATACAACTCTTTCCTCTTTATAACATTTGTATGGATAAACAGTTTGGAATTTTAGTATAATAGACGAAGCATACTGAATAAAATAGTAAGAGTAAGTAAAATAGTAAGTAAAAACAATTCCCTCTAACCGAGGTTGTTAGTTCATTGTTACCATAGCTTTTGTGAAAACTAAATAAACATTCATAGTAACGTAAACTTTGCAAGATCATTTACATTGTTATTACTATGAATAAAAGGAACATGTTTCTAATCATTTCTTGAAATATAAAATGTTAGGCAATAGAGAATTAGGATTGGTTCTCCGAGATTCAGTAGACAGACTAAACGAAGAATACTCTACTTCATGACAGTCTTTTCTTATATGACTAGGTGGGAAATAAGCAAGCCGGCCACCTGAATTCGTCGGTATAGCGAAGAGACTGCAACACATAGACATGTGAAATTGAAGATGTATTGGCTACCGTTAATCGACGAAAGAGGAGCCACTGATAAAGAGAATATATCTCATTCTTATTTGTCTCCTTTACCGTCAAATAATTTTTTCTTTACCATCCTTACAAGGGAATGAAGACTAAGGTTAGGCCTCCGGTACGTACGCTCAACAAGTGAAACGGAAAATTGTTTCCAATTTACGCCTGTTTTCTGTGTGGTTATTTCACATATTGAACAACATTTCCAGACTTTGGCATATTTTGACAGTTTAAAAACACTCGTAAAATTATAAACCGACAAGATTCCCAGTTTGTTGGTGACATATACATAGTTTAACAATATAGGCAGTATAGTTTTAATATTCAAGAGTTGTTACAGTGCGTCAAGCAACCTTCCTGCATGCGTATATGTAATAGAGGATATTTCGTTAAAATGCGACTCTTGCGCAGATATGGAGCAAGGATTTATGTTACGAAAATTTATTGAACGTACGAATTATTATCAATTCAACATGAGTTGTAATTATTAATTAAGAATTACTAAATATCGGTAACATATGACTACATAAATTTTACTTGTTTGCTTTTAAAAATATAGAATTTTCCATAAACGTTTTTTAAGTATTTTAAGATTTGAATTGTATAAAATTTATTACAATTTGCTTTAGCTTCGATTCAAATACAAGTAATTAGTACAAATAAACAGTATAATATCAGGTATTTCTCGCAAATGTGCAAAATATTTTTTGGTGATACAAAAAAAATAATACACAATTATCTTTGTAAAATTGTAAAAAAAATCAAAACTTACGATTTTATTAAATTAACACAAGATTAAAATCACACAGTTACATGCGTCAAATCACTGACTTCAAAATACTTTTTTTTTAATCAAAAAGCGCGCGCATGCGTCGGTTGACCGCGAGAAACTAGCCAGTATTACGGCGTACCACATTCACTTATTGAAAAGTCGCTCCCAATCGCATACAACAATTTTTAAATCTGGAACACAAGGCACAAACATGCTAAACGTCCAAAAAACCACTGATTTTGCAACAGAATTATTTAATTAACAAACTATTCCCAACCTATTATTTTGTTCAAAACATTGGCATAGTTAAATTAAATAAAAAACAGAATACGATATTTAAAATTAATATGTAAATATTTGAAATTGAAATATAAAACTTAAAAAAAATTCTAACTATCTATTTAAATCAAAATATCAAATTTTAACACAAATCGATTCTTTAATGAGGTCATAAACCTCAGATTTAAGAAAAAACATATATCACAATTGTGTTATCTGTGATGCTGGATAAAGTTAATATTAATTCTATCACAAATTTTAATTTAAAGTTACTTCACTTCGTAATTACCCATTAAATGGTCCTTTTTTTATTATCACAAAAACATATTCTGATATAATTTGGACGAGCTTAAGATTTTAAAGTTTAATATATTCCCCAAATACACAATTTGTCAGCAAGTTTGTTTAACGGATAGTTTTAATGTTATTCGATAAGATACATTCGTTGATTTCAAAATTATAGTTAAATACATAATACAAAAATGATTTAAATTAAAAAAAAAACTTCTATAATATTAGGTTTATAAGTATGTAAAATGAAGAGTTTTTACTGATTTTTTGTCTACATAGTTTTGAGTCTCATAATTAAATTGTTAAAATTATGGTTTTCACGTGAACTGTATTGCAAACAATAAATAATTTGAAATCTAGACCTCTCTCTTTAGGTAAGATGTAATATATTAGACGAAACCTCTCTTTTTCTCGTCTCTTACTCTGTTAATTAAAAATTTCCCCTATAAAGTACTTTAACAAAGATTTTAATTATGCAACGTTTTGCTAACGAGCACTAGTAGGCTATATTTTATAAAATACTCAAGAGTTTATATGTGATATTGCCTCACTATACAAACATAATAAAGCTTAAAAGCGATGCATAAACCTCTGTGTAGAAAGTGAGGCGCTTTGGATAGACACGAAAAACTTTTGATTGCGTTTTTTGTACCTTTGTATCTGCGAGGAGGGAACATGCGCTAAAAAACATAAAATTAGACTACACTTTTGTGTGGAAATATTTGTTCCACCAGCTTTATTTGATTTTGGTGCAGATGAAACTTTTCATAGCTCAGTTTTTGATGGTCATGAAAAAGTAGAAAAGCTAAAACCTTAGCTATTCCTCCGACAAAATTCGAATATCAGGAAGACATATATGTAACTAAAATCCGAAAAATTTCTCAATTTGTCTTGTTTTTCTATGTGTTATACCATAGAAATTCGCTCCTGGCCGATTTTGATTGTTTATAACATATTACGATCAGTTTCACAAGATGGCCGCCCTACCAGTGCTCGGTTTTCGTCATGGACAATGAGCAAGCATACAAGTAGGTACTAGATCAAATACAGTAAAATCTTGATAAGTTAAAGTCCAAGGGAAACACCAAATATTTTAAGTTATAGAGGTTTTAAGTTATCAAGGGTCTATGTTAAAGATAGGTTAATATAGAGATAGGTTACCCTTGTTTTTACTTTTACTCGAATGCTTCAGAAGGATTGGTAGATACTGAAATTTAACATTTCTTTAATTTAATGAGGGCCAATACAGAGTTTACTTATCTAAGTTAAAGAGGTTGTGTATTTTAAGTTGAACATTTTTAGTGGAACATAATATTTTTTGAAATTACAGAGGTTTTTAAGTTACTGAGGTTTGAGTTATCAAGGTTCTACGTTATTCAAAATTATAAAGTATCAAACATTTTGTTTCATTATGTTAATGAAAATACCGATGAATGCGTGTTCTGTACAATATTACCTTTACGTCATAAATTATCTTGTACGCGAAAGATGACAAGGATAATGCTGTAATTACACGTTTAACAAAGTGATTAAATTGTACCAAACGGGGCGAGTACCTTCATTACTTTCTCAAGTGTGTCGACAGCATGTTATGTTACTAACGTATTCATTAACCGTGCGTTTTCACTGACAAACGCTTTTAGAAAAACAAAGTACTTTGTCATTGTTTTTCCAAAGAATAAGAGGGTTAATTTTACGCGTAGCTTGGTTTTTTAAACATTTGTAACGGTCGAAATTAGTTGAAAATGACCAAAGTTTTTTTTTATTAAGAGCTTTATGCACTTTAGATAATTAAATTTTACTGTGTCCAAATATCACTTACAATGTTCGTGCAATTTCCTTAACAAAGTATAAGTTTTCACTTCAACAATCAAAGTAATGGGTGCGTATTTCTGATTTTTGAATTTCATATAACCATTTTCATGTTGGCAAAACATTACATGGAAATAATATTTTCCAGACTTTACCAAGTCTGAGCTAACCGAGACGAGCTGAGACCAACTGTAACTCAATTAAAGACTTCCACAGGGGGCGTGCTTCTAAACTCAGTTACACTTAAAGCAGTGTAATTATCTTTACACTATAATAAAAATTGCATAAAATTATCATCCGACTGCACAGATTCAATTTATGGTCACTTGAACATTCGCCTCCAAAAGGAATGTATCTTGTTAACGAATTTTTTTTTTAACACAAAAACAATTCTATCCTAACAACAGTCTTTCCAGCAACTCAAATTAGGTAAAGCATCACTGAACTAAGAAATTATCGTAAATTAAGTTTGTTATTTTCACTTTAATTTCACAAATCTTTAGTACTAATAATAGTTTACTAATTTTAGTAAACTATCTATAAGTTTATCCATTAAAGTATATTGGCACTACAATGTAGTATTTTTGATAGATAATGTCTGCTACTCTGCCCGCGTGGAATTTAGAAATAACTTATTTGGTAGACTATAGTTACGTATCCTTGGGACCATTGGCGATTAGGGTGGGGGCCATCATCCCGGACCATTTTGATCGTTTATAAAAGTGGTGCCATAGTGTGCGGAACATCAGGCAATGTACTGGACATTGTGTCGGAAAGTGCCGAAGGTTCTGGTGAGTACCACGGAGACCCCGGAACCTCCTTCTATTGCACTAGAGGCTGGCCACCGAGAGTTGATATCCCCCACGATACAAAAAAAAAAGACTAATTACGTTATTCCAGTTTGTTATCTATCTTTGTTCCAAATTTCTGATCCGTGCACTCCTGGAGTTAGACAACAAACATTCAGTTATCTATACATTCGTATTTATAATATTTCTTAGTAAGATTTAATAGTATCTTAAATTAATTTAGTTAGTAACACCAATATTTTATTATCAATGTTAATTTATTAAACCACAGTAGCCCATACAACCGTTTTAAATTTCTAGTTTAAAACAATTCTATAGGTTTCTGTTTCATCGTAATAAATTAATTAAAGTACGGTCCATCTGATTGGAATCATTTAATTAATAATTTATTCAGAATTATTTCTTTACTGAGAATAAATTAACACAGAATGTTATTTAACTGTAGCCATTGTCCAAAAAATTTTATTTCATAAGGATTTTTGAGCAACTTCCGGAGTTGTTGCTGAATGTATTTTTGTTAAATACGAGCTACTATATTGAATAAAATATGAATGCATAAAAATTACGAGAAATTCATAGATAAAAAGGCATAAGGAAAAAAGTTTTCGAGCCGTAGATCTTATCTGAAATGGGCAACGGACTAAAAATGTCTTGAAGATTTATTCAAATACTCGAGACTTAAATTATGATCATGCTTTATGTTATGATGAATGACTTCGCTAAATTCAAGGCGAATTTATTTACTTTTGATTTTAATATCATATTTTATGAAGAAAACTTCTTAAGTAAATTTGTATTAAGAAATATGAATTCTTCAAAAGATATTATTAGCTTGTCCTATGAGAAAAACTTATTTTGACGACATTTATTTTGCCCCTTTTGAAAATTTCGGACGAATTGATCTTCTCATTTTTTTATTATATAGCTGAAATATATAAATACTTCTTCAAATAGCCAACCATCTTATAAAGTAGCTAATTCCAAAAATAGCCACTGCATTTATACCAATTTCACCGTTGCTTCTCACGTAGCACAGCTTGTCGAGATAGTGAAAAAGGGGTCTAAGTCTGCGGGAGTTAAACCCACTAAAAGCAAAGCTATATTTCATTAGACTGGGAAGACCTAGACTAGGTCACCTAGTGTGCTTTATGCGGTTGCCTAAATGTTTAGGCAATAAATAGTTTTTAAAGATGTCGAGATATAAAAATATGAGAGATTTTATTATATGAACCTTTGCACACACTTAACCCATTTGCGGTTGAAGCGCTTTTTATGTTGAAGCTACGTTCATTCATCGCATGCTAATTGGTGAACAAATTACATTTAAATAATTAAAATTTGAATTATTCTTGTGATGCGTGGGTTTTCTTTTATTTTAATACAAGAATTAACTTAATTAAAAATGACTATTTAATAATTCGGTTCCATTGACTGTTAAATAAAATTAAGAACCTCAACCGAAAATGGTGTTCGCAGTCTTATTTAAAGAAACATGTTATTATACAATCCTATGATAAAAGTCTGGTGAAAATGTACACCAGTTGGACATAATGATCGCCAACCACCGCTAGATGGCGCTAAACAGAGAAGTGTGGTCCGAATATTGTTTACGAAGCTATTTTCGTGAAAGTTCTAAATCTGTTGTGTTAGTGAAGCTAGGAAAGTAATTCGTCCTTTGTCCGCATTCCGACGTCCGCTCCGACGAGAACTTTTCTTATCTAAAAGTATTTGCTGGACACAACCTTCTAGAAAACTTTTTTGATATAGGTACCCAGAAATAATAATGTTTATATTTATCTTTTGTTACATTACGTTAAAATCGTTATAGTCAGATTTAGGTTTACTGCCTTTTTTACATTTAATAAGAATTCAGTAAGCGCACGCTATAACAATGTAAAATGCACCGTAAAATTAAATGAATTCCT